GTAAAATCCCAGAACTGTGCAGCCCCCACACAAGCCCAACAAATGGTAAAGTATTAAAGCTGTATCCATGGTGATTACTCAATCTGTTCAGTTTGTAATCCTGACTGACACGCCTCTTTGACATCACTCTATGCAAATCCTGCAGCTGGGGAGGAAAAAAAAGTTTCGTGGGACTTGAGAGTGAAGCAGATTATATTTTCTTTTCTATTTATTTGCTTGTGAAAAAAGCAAACGGTTGAAGAAAAATTACCAGGTAAAAAGCATTAATAGTATATCCAGCTATGGTTTACTGAATCAGTATGTTTTATATTCTCGACATGGATTTTGCTATTGAGGTTATTCAGCGTAGGCATGAAATGGACTCTCTGAACAGTTGCCTGCAGTTAGGTAGCCTAGAGGCAGACTTTGTTGTTGCATATCAGATTGGGGGGGGGGGGTTCATTCAGAGACAGAATGGCATTCATTCAATTGGTAAAAAGGGAGTGAAAAGAAGGGGAAAAAACTATTCAGAATCACAGGTCTCAAAACTGACTTGACATGATACTGTAGAGCAATGTCAAACAGACAGAAACCATTTGCCAACTACAAGGCAATATCTTTTAGAGCAAATGTAATTCATTTTTAATCATTTCAACTGATATTGAATTATTAACTTTTTATTTAATATTCAAAATTCAGTTGCTGCTGGACTCACTAAACTCTTCTTTCTAAAGAAACAGGGCTTTTACCATCTTTATGCTTGCTTCCAATAAAAAACAACTGTTGTGACCCTAATGTTAACTACATGCAGGAACACTGAGCTTGTTTGTGTGTCAGACCTACTGAAAGGAGAACACAGAGGTTTCATTCATATTCGCTAACACTTCTAAGAACGGTTACTGCAAGGGAAAACACTACTGAGAAAAGCCTGATGAATGGACATGTGAACCCCCTCTAAGTGATGGTGAGGCCACCGTGCCTGTGAGCTTGCCTCCAGTTACAGGGAATTGCAACTCAATACGACCAAGGGATCACAAAAGGTCCCTGCCTTGGGAAAGAGAGCACTCGGAGAAGGAGTACTTTTCTTATGTTCATTTGGTACTTGGCTGGGAATAAAAGACATCCATAATAATATCGTGTAGTGGAGCATCTTCTTGTGCTTTTTGCATTGATTATCCACAAGCCTCTGGAACTCCCCAGGAGGAAAGCAAAAACTATTCCTACAAAAGAAATTCCCTAATCTGGTGTTTTGATCATTTTTTGGGTGACTGCTAACAGCTGTCCCTTTAAACCAGGCAGTGATCCTCCGTGTCCTACAGATGGAGTCATTATCATCCTGAAAAAAAAAAAAACCCACTCTGTAGAACCTATATGGACTTGTCACTTGTGTGCGCATGACAAAACAAGTGTAGTTTAAAGTTTTTTAATGCCACACACACACATACACATACAGGTTTTTTATATCATGGCGCCACCTTCTGGATTGAGGTTGCTCAAACTACTGTAGCATGATCGATGTTTCTTACTTTCCAGAGAGTTTATAAAACATTGCTGAGGATGTGAATGCCTTAGCACTTTGGAAATAACAGCCATTAGGCAATATCTTTTTCTTAAATTGTTAAAATCAATAAAAGTTTGTTTATTTTCCAATAGAACAATGTGATATCCTTAATTGTGTTCGTATTACTTGCTATTGTCAAATATCTGACCTTCTGGTTTAATAATACTATGAGTCCAGTACTGGTAAGTAAGAATTATTACTTGTCAATTATCCTTAGTCATTTGTGCCATTAGCAATCTGTTTACATAAAAAGCCTCAAACTCTGAATTACTCATAGATTAACTAGTATTGTGAACTTGATTGAAAAAGGTACATTTATTATTCAAGACTTAAAAAATGGACTACTGACTTGACAGTTTTGCAGATAATGATGGTTATCCTCCATAAGAGGTTAAGTCTCATTTGTGAAAAAGGCAAGTTGTTTGCAGACTGCTGTATTTAAACATCTGTCTAAAAGGGAAGTGTGATATAAAGAGAAGATTGTCAAGGTAAGTCAAATCAGGAACTTGGGAGAGCTTTGCAAACAGAGAACTGAGGCCGGTGACAGAGGATTAAGATCCACCACACATGGACATCTAGTGGCTCAGTACTAGGAAAGGAGCTACAACTGCCGCATTCCTAATACTGAACCACTAGATTTTAGAGTACTTCTTGCTTTCCACTGCTGACAGGCTTTATAGAGATTCTTATTTCCTTTTACAGCAAGACCTAGAAGCTTCCCACAGCGCCAAAACTATCAAATAGCTTGCTGACCGCATTATTGGGCTGCTAACAAACCTGAACCCAAGAGGAAGATGAGAAACACCCAACACAGAATTACAGATGGACTGAAGGGCCCTATTTGCATGTAATGAATATAGAATACATGGAAGTTTGAAGTTTGGTAGTTTTTAGATATTGTGAGATGATTAAAATTAGGAGGAAAAAAAAACAAACTTGTTAAAAAAAAAAAAAAAAAAACGACCTTTATTGAAGACATTCTTGAATGTCGACAGCTGCATTTGATATTAGAGTGGTATTCAAAGAACAATAAAAAGACATTGGGACAGCACATAAAAAAATATTTTTCAAAATAAACAAAAATACACTAGCAACTCAGAAATCTCATTTTTGAGTTGGAACACCTAAGGACTAGTTACTTTCATACTTATTTGTAGTCCTCCTAGACTGTTACATAATATGGCAGGGATAAAGTACTACCACTAGAAAATTCCAAACGTAAGATATGTAGTGTTGACTTTACAAAAAAAACAAAAGAAAAAGAAAAGGAGAATAACACTGTACATCTTAAAAACATTAAATATACACATGATCTTGGTCAATCTGACTTCGGTTTTTCAAGATGGTGAATTGAGATATAAGGATATATGGCATAAACAAAACTGCAGGTCCCATCCCCAAGTGAGCTACTCATCATCATCATCCTCATCTTCCTCTTCTTCTTCTCCTTCCTCCTCTTCTTCTTCATTGTCATCATCATCATCATCAGCTGCAGCAGCTGGTCCTGAATCCACTTTTCCCTTTGTGCGGTAAGCAACAATATCCTGTAACAGAGAGATAGGCTCTTTTCCATGCTCCACAGACAATAACATTTTCTATCAAATCAACAAGTTTAACTTCCATGTCATTTTGGATTATCACCTTGTCATATTTCTCCTTCAACTTGGCAGCCTTCTTCTCATATGGCTGCTTTTCTTCCGCAGATGAGCTGTTCCACATCTCTCCCAACTTCTTTGCTGTGTCCCCAATGGAAAGGCCTGGATTTTCACTTTTTATTTTTGGGCGAAAATCTGCACAGAAGAGGAAAAATGCAGACCTGTGGGGGGAAAGAAGGAAATGGGAAAAAAAGCAAAAACGTTGCCGTTTAATTGCTCAAAATACCCCTATGGTCTGAAAGAAAATGAGAAAGTGTAGATTATGGCACATACGGTGGTCTCTTGGGGGCATTGGGGTCCTTGAATCGCTTCTTCTTCTGGCCCTTGGGAGGCACGTAATTCTTCATTTCCCGCTCATAACGCAACTTGTCTTGCTTGGCCATGTCTTCAAACTTGCCTTTCTCTTTTGGAGACATTGTCTTTGGAGAAACACAGCCAGTTTTAAACAATCTAAAAAATAAAATACTGAATTTAGAAAACTGAAAATAAAATCTAATATTATGAATAATTCCTTTTACCTTCCATCGCTCAGAGCATTTCTTGGAGAACTCTGAGAAGTTGACACTGGCATCAGGGTGTTTCTTCTTATGCTCCTCCCGGCACGTCTGCACAAAGTAGGCATATGAGGACATTTTGCCCCTCGGCTTCTTTGGATCCTTCCCCATTTTGGCTTACTAAATTTTAAGGAGAGAAAATACAGTTTTAAATTCAAAGTATACCAGCACTTTCATGCAATGTAAGTAATAGAATCTGAATGGCCCTCGCCAATAGTCTGCCTCCTACTCCATCAGTTCCTCACATCTATTGTTTAAACTGGGTGGTGGGAGGAGGGTGCCTGGGGTGACTGATGATCCATTGTATGAAGAGGCTAGCATTTATTAAAACTACAATCAGCTACACATTACTCTACTAGCGCGTTAGATCAAACGTTTACCTATACAAGCTAGTAAAAACAGTATAGTACTGCTTAATTTTAGCACTCCGACAATATAACGTGAAGCTAACCGGCTAAAGGTTCTACGTGAACACATTAGCGTCCACCTCATTTGATTGTTCATTAGCTTTTAGCCATCTTGCTTTGTGTCCTCTTGCTATCAGCGTTAGCCTTCAAGCTAGGCTAGCATGTCACGGTGCTCATCTCGGGAGACGATTATGAAAATGGCTGATTAGACTGCTAACAATGGCTAGCTGCCCTTTTTTCAAACACCCCTTACGTCCTTCAGAACAAATTTGCCTGTTACTGTTGTCACCTGTCTAAACGCTAAATATTATTCGACTAAAAGTTTAGTGAAAGTCGTACTAATGCCGGAGAATGATGCTCTGCCTGTATCACCGTACTCCGGTTGCCTCAGCACCAGTCAACGGTATTAACCTACATTCAACAGCCAGCTAGCGCTAGCCTTTATGGTAGCATCCAGCCACCTTTAGCACGCACCACAGCAGCGGACGTTACGTTAAGCGAAGTGTGGCAGACAGTTAACTCGACCATCAGGGCTCTTGTCCTTTAACCCAATGGCCACTTTATTTTAGTTATTACTCATGGCCGTGGTGAATGTCACTGTACGGTAACTACTTAGCCAAGTTAGCAAGATAACGTTAAACACCAGGAGCGTGATACTGAGTTAGCATCCCATTCAGCTCAGCCATGCAACCAACTACGTACAACGTTAATGTATACTGTGCAAAGCATATCCCAGAGCATCGTTTCATTCATAAGAGCCGCACACTATTCGCTTTGTTTAAGATTACGTTTATAGTGCTTACCCCTACAGCGCTATATGAGGCCAGCCGCACGTCGGTACGTCTCAAACAATGGGACGAAAAGCACCGTCAGTGCGCGGTCTTTCGGCTGCGAGAATCCGTCTGTGTTTATTCTGTGTGTTGGGCACCGGCTGTCGGACATTGGCTGCCGCCAACTCCTTGGAGTATCTTATTGGACACGCGCTGTCAGTCCTGCTTGTTGAACGGTTGGTTGTTCAAAACACGGCGGTGTGATGGCGCTCGGCTTGAATGCCAGTGAGTTTAACTGCAGGGAAACACAAACGGAAAGAAATGCAGAGCCCATTAGTAAAAAAACAAAAAGGAAAGACTAGCAATTTGAAGTTACTCCTAAGCTTACCTTAAAGGAGCATTATCAGCGAATCATATCGTTTACGTAACACACTGCTTTGAGAAACTGTGTTTGTCCCCGTTCTGATTTATTTATTGTCTGTTTTACCACATGTACATGTTAAAGCAAGTTTTAATATTAGACAAGAATAAATAAAAAAAATTTAAATGATAGTTTCATTTATCCAGCGAAATATTAATTATTATTAAATATTAATGAATTAGGTATGATTTAACACATTTTTTGAAAAGCGGAGTTCAATTTCACTGGCTATGGAAAGCACTTAATTAGGTTTTGACAAAATGAAGTGGTCTTTAGTGATGTGCGATTCCACTGATTTCTTTTCCGATCCGATACCAAGTAAAATCCAGGGTGGTATCGAAGATACTGATCCGATACCAATACTTTGTACGAAAACTTAATGTTTCATTGTATTTCATAATACAATATATAATTGTATTATGTAATTGTAATAATAATATAATAATATAGCTTCATAATGATTACAGAACATTAGACTACTTGTTCTTATTGCTTAATAATGCAGAATTATCATATAGAAATAAAAAAAAACTTGAAGTTGTGCTCTATTTGAGCATGTTGCCTGCCTGCAACACTAAAGGACTCCGCGAGATACGTCTGTCTCGCCCTATCAGCACCTGTCCCTCTCCTCCTCTTCAGTTCACCTCAACATAAGCTCATCATATTCTGTGATATGATTTACTCTGAGGTGTTTGACGAGGTTAGTGGTGTTGCCACAACACCTCACTGTCTTGCCACATGTATCGCAAACCGCGTCTTGGCTGTTTGTGGATGTAAAATACGTCCACACATGACTCCGTTAACACTCTGCCATTGTTGTGAGTGCGTACGCCAAGGGGCTGCCACACATTTATACAGGGTGGGCCATTTATATGGATACAATGTAATAAAATGGGAATGGTTGGTGATATTAAAGTCCTGTTTGTGGCACATTAGTATATGTGAGGGGGCAAACTCCTCAAGATTGGTGGTGACCATGGTGGCCATTTAGAAGTCAGCCATCTTAGATACAACTTTTGTTTTTTCAATAGGAAGAGGGCCATGTGACACATCAGACTTATTGGTAATGTCACAAGAAAAACAATGGTGTGCTTGGTTTCAACGTAACTTTATTCTTTCATGAGTTATTTACAAGTTTCTGACCACTTATAAAATGTGTTCAATGTGCTGCCCATTGTGTTGGATTGTCAATGCAACCCTCTTCTCCCACTCATCACACACTGATAGCAACACCGCAGGAGAAATGCCAGCACAGGTATCCAGTATCCGTAGTTTTAGGTGCTGCACATCTCGTATCTTCACACCATAGACAATTGCCTTCAGATGACTCCAAAGATAAAAGTCTAAGGGGGTCAGATCGGGAGACCTTGGGGGCCATTCAACTGGCCTACGACGACCAATCCACTTTTCAGGAAACTTCATCTAGGAATGCTCGGACCTGGCACCCATAATGTGGTGATGCACCATCTTGCTGGAAAAACTCAGGGAACGTGCCAGCTTCAGTGCATAAAGAGGGAAACACATCATCATGTAACATGTAGTATCATGTACAGCCATGTTTCACATATGACTATGAAAGGCGTAAGAGGAAGTAGTTCCTTCCAATTTAGACGATCCAAATGATATAGTTTCTTTCTACTGTGTTCCTTTTAATGATAAACTACAAATTTACCTCAAAGTACTAAAATATCGATATTTTAATATGAGAATCGATTCTACAACATAACTTACTGGTATCAGAAGAATCGATATTTCAGTATCGATCCGCACACCACTAGTGGTCTTAAAGATCTCAAAAAGCACATCATGCAACAACTTTGTACAGGAAACCTTCCCAGGATTTTCCAGCCTACTAAAATGACTCAAAAGAGTGGATTGACAACTCGTCCATGAGGTCATAAAAGAACCCAGAGCAATATCTAAAAAAAACTCGCAGTCTCACTTCCCTCAGTTATCCTGCATTTCAGATTAAGTCGGAATTTCCAAGTTCCCAGTTGCAATTGTTATATTTATTTCAGTTCAATTAATTAACTTTTTATTTTTGGGCGAAAATCTGCACAGAAGAGGAAAAATGCAGACCTGTGGGGGGAAAATATGACAAGGTGATAATCATTTTGGATTATCACCTTGTCATATTTCTCCTTCAACTTGGCAGCCTTCTTCTCATATGGCTGCTTTTCTTCCGCAGATGAGCTGTTCCACATCTCTCCCAACTTCTTTGCTGTGTCCCCAATGGAAAGGCCTGGATTTTCACTTTTTATTTTTGGGCGAAAATCTGCACAGAAGAGGAAAAATGCAGACCTGTGGGGGGAAAGAAGGAAATGGGGAAAAAACCAAAAACGTTGCCGTTTAATTGCTCAAAATACCCCTATGGTCTGAAAGAAAATGAGAAAGTGTAGATTATGGCACATACGGTGGTCTCTTGGGGGCATTGGGGTCCTTGAATCGCTTCTTCTTCTGGCCCTTGGGAGGCACGTAATTCTTCATTTCCCGCTCATAACGCAACTTGTCTTGCTTGGCCATGTCTTCAAACTTGCCTTTCTCTTTTGGAGACATTGTCTTTGGAGAAACACAGCCAGTTTTAAACAATCTAAAAAATTAAATACTGAATTTAGAAAAAAAAATTTAATTACAACAACAGTTGCCTTAAGATGTTTTTTTTGTTGGTCTGGAATGTCCCTTCGACTCCAATTTTCTTTTCTGAAAGTACCAGCCCCACCAACCTGCAGCTGTGCATAATACAAATACAGCATATTACAAAAAGCAAGTATTATGCTGTATTGTTTGCGACACAGGAATGGCTCTTCCTTGTTGAGAAGCAAATCAAATCCTGTTTTTCTTTATATTTATTTTAACTCGGGAGTAACAGCCCTCCTGAGTTCTGTCACCCAACGTATGAGGTAACTGGAATGTGCCAATAAGGTCAGTGTTCATAATTCAACAATAAGAAAGAGACTGGGAAAAAAATAGCATCCATGGGTGAGTTTACTGCTGATCAACAAGAATACATAGGCTTGTCTTGCATTTGCCAAAAAACATCCTCCAAAGAACATCCCAAAACTTTTGAGAAAATATTCTGTGGACTGATGGGACATAAGTACAACTTTTTGGAAGCCTTGCATTAAACTAGCATAGCATTTCATAAAAAGGACATCATACCAGCAGTCAGACATGGTGGTGCTAGTGTGATGATTTCAGGATGCTATACTGCTTCAGGTTCTTGTCGAAACTGATGGAACCATGAATTCTGCTTTCTATCAGAAAATCCTGAAGAATAATATCCGGCCATCAGTTTGTGACCCAAAGCTGTGAAGTACAGTTTGGTTATGCACAAGACTAAGTCTCTGAATGTCTCAAAAAATAATAAATAAAAGGATGGTTTTAGAGCGGCCCACTCAGAGACCGAGGTTAAATCCAATTGAAATGCTTTTGCGTGGCCTTAAACAGGTCATTCATGTTTTAAAATCCTTCACTGGGCCTAAATTAAAACAATCCCAAGACTCATTGCCAGTTATCACAAATGCTTGATTGTATATACTATAGTCATTGCTGCCAAAAGTGGTCAAACTAGTTATTAGGTTTAGGAAGCACTCACTTTTAAGTTAGGGAATGTAGTGTTATCATTTTTAGCAGCAGCAAAAGTAATAATAGCAAAGCTTTGAGGTGACTTCTAATAGTAAAAACTTCTGAAGTCCATTTTTTGTGTGAACAAGGATGGATGAACAAAGCCAAAATGTTAAATGTTTACCTCCTGCAACTATGAAATATCTTATTTTATGTCATGTACTATTTTTAGAAAAAACAAATCATGATATTATCTAAAGTTTAGTTTATACAGTTAAAAGATGTGTAATACAGTTGAAAGAAGTGCAGTATAGAAGAATTGCCCATTTCTCTTTTAATGTTTTTTATTTATAAAATGTTCAGGAACTATTAAATCTATTGCTGTAAGTTATTTCTCTTTGAATTGTTGATGAGTTGAATATTGATTACCGAAAAATATATCCAAATGTACTTAGTTACTACCCACTATCACCAGTAACAGACATATAAGGCGCCTGTAACAATGCTAAATTTTTAATTCAACATCTCCCCTGCTGTGCTTCTGTTTAAATGTTGTAGGTCTCCATAACCACAGTGCATACTACATCCTGCTTGGATCAGCTTTGACACTGTGTAGATAAAGCTTGTGTACGTATAATGCTCTAATTTTAATACTCACAGGAATTGTCAGCATATGCTTTTCATCAGGATACCAATGAAGTAACTTTTCATCTAAAAATTAAATGGATTTAAGTACACTGAAATCAGCTATAAGAGGAGATGCTAGAACAAACCACCAGTCACCAATGGCAACGCAAGGTAATGTTAAACCAAGGATAGGTAAACACAAAAAGAAACCCAGTATGGAACTTAAAATGTTTTCTTGCATTTATTTTGCATGTTATTGTAACATCAAAAGGTTTTGTTTAATTAACGTGCATGTTATACCAGTTTTGTGTTTTTTAAACTTACTTATCTGCTTTTTTATGTTTTGTTTTTTCTTGTTTTAAAATGTTTAGTTTTTATTATTTTGGGGTGTTATTTTTAGTTGTTTGTGGTTGTAATATGAGTATTTGTCAGATTATAAGATTTGAGAAGTTAGGAATTGTTTTGCCCACTATCACCTATAGCAGACATATGCAATGTTCCCTCTAAACTGCATGCGTGCGCAATTGCGCACTGATGGCACGGTC